ACAACTCCTCTCTTTTTTTATGGAAGAAGTGTATGAAAACATTTATCACGTATCTGTCTAGTTCTAATCTTCCTCCGTTATTTGGTGTTGATTTTCTGTGCCAAAACCAATGGACTTCACCTCTCTCAACATATTATTCTCGACATTTTTAACAAGGAGGCAAGCTGATGCTGACTGTGGATGCTCTAGAAGGTGAAGAGTTAAAAACAGCTGATTTTAGTACACTTCATCTCAGGCTGATCCATACTGACTGGTTCTTAATGTTGGAGTATTTTCATCCAAACAGAGTCAGTCAGTGCAGCTGTTTCTGGTTTGGTTTGGGCCCAGTGAGTGCTTCAAAATGGACATGGAGTCACATATGAAAAAGAATGATAAACTGATGATATAGCATTCGATATAAAATAATAATAATAATAATGGCCTGCACTATTTGGTGTCTTAGATTAACTGTGAATATATTAAATAATTATGAAATATGTGGACCTAATGAAAAACATTGACAAAGTTAAACATCAACAGGAAACAAATCGTCTCCACATTACACACACACACACAAAAAAACGAAATGCATTGGAACACAAGTAGAATATAAAGTTTGCATATTTTGGTATTTTAATGACCCCTAATCTTTTTCACAGCTATTTGTCTTGTCATTTGAGACTGTGTTTGTGTGTGCATGTGATTGCGTGTTCGGCACAGGAACTTTTCAGGGCCGTTCACACAGGACACATTCGAACATTAAAAACAGGTAAACACTGCACAGAATCAAAAAGAGTATCTTAACCCAACTTAAATTGTTGTTAAATATAAACATGCTTATCACACCGTCATATTCATTTGATTGGTCCATTATTTTTTTCTATTTTTCACTGATACTCATCCACTCCACTGCATGTCAGAGTTGAACTTGTGAAAATGTGACATTCATGGCACAAAAAAAAGGAAAAAAGTGCATGTGCACTTATACTGCAACAACATATAATAATAATATAATAAGAATAATACTACATATGTAAAAGCATCATAATATTATATATAATATATACTGTATGTATGTAAAAAATGCAATTTGTTTCTTTATACACCATATTCCTAGTCGGAAATATCAAATAGGAATATCTCACTTCCGACTCTGAATGGAATACATCAAACAAAGCAACAATTAAAAACATGTGCAAGAACATGTCCTGTGTGAACAGTCCCGTTACTCTCCCTGTCCCAAAGTACCAGGACCAATTGGTGGAGCGGACACATCTATCAGCCTGGTGTCAGTCTCTCTTCAGCCCTGCGCTAGAGGAAGATGTGCAGTGGAGTGAAGTCCTGAGACGCTGTGAGGCCTTCCATTCCTCCCATCTATCTCTCCACTGGCCGCTCTAACCGGATGGATTTGCTGATAATGAGGGCGATTCGACTGAGTGATGGGAAAGTGGGTTGAGTGGGAGAGACTATATGTTCTTTATTTCTTTGTTATCTATCAAAAGCTATTAGCATTGACAGCCCGGCACACGGCCCCCTCATATTTAACCCACAATCCCCTTTGGAAAGAGAAGGCTTCCGTGTGACAAACCTTAAGGTGCGGCCACATTAGTGAAATTTTGAGGGCAAAAAAGTCCATTGTCAGTAACATAGCGATGTATGAAGCACACAGGGGTCACTTTCAAACCAAACAGTTTTCTGCTGGTCAACGCAGCCAATCTGTGTGACAAACTACAACAGCACGAGGAAATCTTTCATCCTCAAACCGGAATTCACAATCACACGAATTCCAATTGAAATGACTGGATTTCGCCCACGAAAATTCGCCGAACAATGGTAAATGTGACCGCACCTTTACCCTGTAGGGATGCACAGCAAGTCAAGGCGGTGCATCTGTAAGACGACATCAAGTGCCCACATGCGTAACTCTAGACATCAGCAGCATATTTCTCAGAGCCACAGTCATTTCGAGGCCTCTCGCATTTGGTCGTTCACACTCACGCACACTCGTAAGTTTTTTCCGAACCCCCGATTGCATTTGTTATTGATTTCCTGTTGGCAAAGCAACATGATCATAAAACATCTCTGTGGATCAAATTCATGTAAACATACACCTTATGTTAGAGTGGTTTATATTGCATGACGGTGGGAAGGGTGGATGTCACAGTTCAGATGGGGGTCAGCTCCCAAAAGAACACAACCTGGAAAGGAAAGTAAGGAAAAAAGGCCAAAAAGAGACAACAAAAGAGTAAACGAGTATAAAAAATGAGGCGTCCGTATAAGAAAGGCTACAAAAAACTCCACTGGCCCTCTGGCCCTCAGCATACAGCAAAAGGCACCACAATATTACTCTATTTTTTTTTTTTTGAAGTTGTGAAAAAATTGGCACACCTTTTTTATGCTGTAAATCAAAATGTACATATAAATAGTATCAATGTTGAAAACAGCAGTGCTGCTTAATATTTTTGTGGAAAGCATGATACTCTTTTTCAGGATTTCGTGATTAATAGAAAGTTAAAGAAAACAACATTTATTTGCAATAGATTTTTTTTTTTTTAAACAATGTAAAAGTTTTTACTGTCACTTTTGATCAATTTAATGCATCTTAGCTGAATAAAAGTATTCCAAAAATTTTTAGAGATTTTTTAAAGATTTTAAGATTAATTTGTTACCACATAAAGCACATTTTTAGATTATCATTACGCTTAACGTGGCTTATGGCATTAACACTTTAAAAGATAAAATTCAGTTACCTTGATGATGCAAACTATGCAGGCAATCAGATGAACCTAATATAAACTAAACGCGCTAAATTGCACATTAAGCGCTTTTCGTTCATATTCTGTGCTCATCTTCTTATTCTTCTTGCCTATCTGTATTAACAAACTGTAGCCCCTACTGAATAAGGTCCTTAGCGCCGTAGTCCATTAAGCAAGGTTAAGTGTTTTTATTTATTAATGTTCTGAAGTTTGAAGTTATAAATTTAAGTTTGGATAGTGCACTTTCACATCTATGTTCAAAAATGGGGGGTGATGCTTACTTGCTGCACTAAATAAAATAACTATCATTCATAAGTAAATATAATACAATAAATCTTCTGCTTCTGACCACACATGAGTGACCTAAAGGTTGAGAACCTCTTCCTCAAGTTCCACCATTCATGGAGAACCTGGAATTTTAAAATTGTGATTTTTAGGCCTGGAAAAGTCATTCAAAATTCAATCAGTCTTTAAAAAATTTCTGTTGTGAATACATTTTCTATTCTACTAGTTATACTCAACTGCTGACTAGAAATTGCTGTTTGAGTGCAACCTCTCTAAAATGGTGTTAAAATCCTTACTGCATCATGGACAATTTGTGAAAATCCACTGGTCTAAAGGTGTGGGATCCCTATTCTGTGTTTGCTGCCCATATGCAGTGATCCTGCCTTGTACTTTTGCAGTACTATATCAATTTACGCCAACCTTGCTATGGCACTTGAAAAATGATAGTATGCACACTAAGACATGGCGGCTGAAAGCTCAATAGCAAATGACAGCAGACGTACACACTACAGGAACAAATGAGGCCACGTCAAACCTCCCAGTCTAGGCGTAGCATTGTTACTGCAGCACGCCACCAGATGGATGATGACGCTTGCCTTATGAGTTCCCTTCCATTAGAGTGCATCATGCTACACTTAATCATGTATGTGGGTAATTTTCCTTGTTGCTGTGTGAGTTAAAGTGAGCGTGCCCTGAGAGAGGAGGCCACAGTCAAACTGGAGCAGATAAATGAACACTGGCTGCTCTGTCACAGATTTGCAGGGCCTAAGGGCAGATAGCCATATGCACAACAGCTCAGTCAGCTGCAGAGCAGGAGAGAAGGTAGAGAGGGAAATAGTGCAGAGCAGAACACCAGAGACCTGTTTCACCCCTGAGATAATGTGTTGTTCGGCTCTTGTTGACTTAATGAACCCCTCACGGTATAAATTCTCCTGTTTTGGCCCTTGCATGGTGGCGTGGGCGTTTCGCAGGCGAGAGATAACTGTAAATACAGCTGGCCGTGGGCTAGAATCTCTCTTCCTTGATACTGCATATCTGGAGCAGAGAAGCTTTGCTTGACCCCGACTCCCTCTCTGACACTCTCAGCTGGGCCAGAGCATCTGCACGATTTGCGCAACAAATTTTACTGTTATATTCTTCATGGTACGCAGTGTGCAATTTATACAATGACTTTTGAGAGGTCAACTTTCTTATTTCTTATGCTAGTGGCTGACATGTAACTAAATATTTTTCTATCTGTCTATCTATCTATCTATCTATCTATCTATCTATCCTATATATAAATTATTATATTTCAATATTTATATTGCTAAATTTTGTGTGTATATACACAGTGCTGGGTAGATTACTTTTTTAGGTTGATTACTTAAATTGTAGTCCATTACTGATTACAAATTACATAACGGAAATTATTGTTTGTAGAGTAATCTATTGAATTACCCATTCTGACTACTTTTTGATTACTTTTAGATTATGTTTTACCTCAAATATATTCCATTCTTTGTTATCAACATCACACATTACATTATGCCAGGGTTTCCCAAACTGGGGTTTGCGAAATGATGAAAAGCTGGAAGACTTTCCGAATGTATCAAAACAGTAGAATTTTAGAAAGCAATTTAGAATATGTGAATAATTTATCATATTTCATGATAATTGAATAATTTACTGCCATTGTGTGAATAATATGTAATCATGTAATCTATAAAAAAGTAACTGTAATCTGATTATGAGCATTTTAAAATGTAATATAATCTAATTACAAGTACTTAATTTTTTTAATCTGATTATGTAATCATGATTACATATAATCAGTTACTACCCAGCACTGTGTCTGTGTGTATGTGTGTGTATATATATATATATATAGTACAGTATGTGGAAAATAATGTGTTTTTTTAACCTTAAACCACATAAACACATTTCATTACACCAAATACACAAAATAATGTTCTTTTTTAGCAACGTCATATGACCCCTTTAATTTGCATCCTGATGGTACATGCTGTGAATATTTGCTATTGAATCTTTCACGTCACCCATGCCAGTCCCCAGGGGTAAAGGAGACCGGGCACTGAAACGCAGAGGAGTCTTACTGCACACACTAAAATGGTTCTCAGTGCCATGGCTGCAAATAGAGGGCGCTCCTGCGCACCTGTCGCTATGCGGAGAGTCCCCAAGCGAGTCGAAAGAGTCACCATACTGCAGGGCCGGCCGGTGGGGCTCAGTAAAGCCACAGTGTGCGGCACGCCTGGCCCGCGCCTCCATGCACGCAGGACTGTTGCATTTACTGGTCCCCACTGAGGATGACATCATGCCGGAAGGACAGTCGGAGAGGACGCTGTCTGTTCGCTCCAGACTCCACGTTCTCCCTTCATGTCTGAGAAAGAAAGAAAGAAAGAAAGAAAAAGAGAATGAAAGAAAGGGAAGGAAAGAAAGCAGGACAGAAAAAGTGCACAAGATGCTTAACCCAGTGGTTCTCAAATTGTAGGGGGACGGGAAGCTTCCCAAGTTCTTAGATTTCTTTCATTTCCTTTGGCTTCACAAGACTATGATTTCACAAGAACATAGAGCATACAGAGTCATGTGGACTACTTTTATGGTACTTTTATGTGATTTTTGAAACTGGACAGTTGGTCACAATCCTCTCATGTCTCATCCATCTCTGTTTGTGTTCCACAGATAAAAAATATGGATTTATACCGACATGAGGCCAGTGTTATTTTAGTGCTATTTATAAGCTATAATAATTTTTATTTTTATAATTTTAATTACACTTATAGGGCCAGATTTACTAACAGCTTGCTCCAACACAAACCGTCTTTTGGCGTTAAAATAGTACTGTCAGGATTTACTAAAGACGCACAGTGAAGAAATAGAGCTGAAAAGGCTTGGACACAGTTATTTTTGCGCCTGATCTTATTGAATATGCATTTGTAGGAGTTTCCCTTTCAGACGCAAAATTTATGGGAGGAGAGTATTAAAATGAATCACGCAACATGATTTACTAACATTTGCGCTCGTCATATTAGTGGTATTTGCGCCATTATTTAATGCGAAAAAAAAGCATGTCTTAAAGCAGACGCTAATTTGCGCTGCTCTTGGTAGATTGTGATGGTCATTATGGAAATGATCTGGCTGCGTCTGTGTTCTTTAATTTGCGCATTGTCAGTAAATCACCCGCAGAAATTTCCACTCCCATTAGCGCTTTTTTGGAATTGCGCTCTCATGCTAATTTGCCCATTTTAGTAAATTTGACGCTTAGTCATTGATTTATGCTTGTCTTTTTTCTTTTTTTTTTTTACATTTATTTGTTTTTAAAAAATTTTTATTTATTTTTGGATTTTCAGTAAGTACTTTTAGTACATTTCTCATTTTTGATTAGTTCAAGTTTTTCATCTAATATTTATATTTTATTTCAGCTTTATTTAATTTAACGAAAAATCTTTTTTTTTTAAATAGTTTTATTTCTTGGTAACAATAAAAACGCTGCATGAGGGTGAATAAATGGCAAACGTTTGATTTCTGGGTGAACTATTCATTAAATTTAGCTTAATTTAATTATTTATATGAATTATTTATGTTTTATATACAAACTTTGCAAAAGATAATGTAGGTCCACTGACAATAAATGATTTTCTTTATTTTTTTTTTTACTTTTAACTCATTATTCACAACAGTGAAAACTATCAAAATGTAGTTTCTTTTTCGTCTTTTTTTATATACAACAAAAACTGACAGATGAAAAATCTTTTTTTTTTCACTTTTTTTTTTTTCAATAAAACCATAACTTCACTTCTAATTTGCTTTAGGACAAATCGCAATCTGTCAAACAGTTCCCCGTTATTCAATAAGTACACACATGCTAACAAAATTTGCCAACAATGCGGTTGGTTGATTACAGTGGGAGTGTTAAGGTTGTACAAAGGTTGTTCCTGTTACAAAGGAGTCATGACAGAACAAACCGAGAACCACTGGTTTAACACATATGTGTGTAAGAATCAGTTTGAGTGAAAAGCGTGAAGTCGGAGGCCTGCGAGGTGATCATGGTGTATAACCTCTGAGTTTCTCTGCACTCACTCACTCACTCACTCACTCACACCTCTGGCTAAATTCTAAAAGGGATGAATTATGGCCGCCTGACTCAGATTCCAACCAGATAGTGGAAGGGGAAAGAATGCTGAATGAGATGAAAACAGACGTATGACTCAGGTAGGGGGTAACTGGAGCATGACCCCTGGTTCTTGATGAGTCTACACACACAAATCCTCTGCTCAATTGTGGTCAAACATGACATGCTGTCAGGAATGTACCTGTGAGTGGAGGAATGAGCCCGGGTGGAGAAGTTGTGGGATCTGGAAGACTGCCGGCTGCCAGGAAAAGGTTCCTCTGCTCCGTGTCCAATGACTCTCTCAGTCGCCGGTACATTTTTGGAGATATACTGCAATTAGAGATCAAAAGAGGCCTTCAGTTACAGACTGATGATATTACATCACAACCAAACCCATTTTATTAAGAGGAGTGACGTACATCTACCATGGGTATCTCTTCAGGACCAGGGCCTGGGTGATTGGGTCCATTGGCCAGGTTGCGGTTGGGATGATCCACATAAATGTTCTGCCTCAGATGATTGTGCATCTTCTTCCTCTGTTTCCTGGGGGGGAGGCTACAGTGAGGCAGTGTCACTCTCTCAGACACCGGCCCAGAGTCACAATCATCACATCACATTTAAAAAAGTCTTGCTACTGCTCTATGTTGCTGCTAACTAATTTTTCAACATCCCATTTAGTCATTTTCTGAATAATGACTCTTCTGAATAATGCTGTCTTTCTTTTAAATATATACCACTTCGACTGATGTTTTATTATGTAATGTAATTACATTTATACATTATTTTAAGGCACAAGAGTTCAAACACACTCAAAAACTTTCCAACTTTCCAAGCAAAAGTAATATTAAAATAATAAAAAGGTTTAAAACATATTTACTCAATTCCAAATTAATTCCAAAGCAAATGTAGCTTTGCAATTTACCAAATTGTATTTTTTTAAACATATTAATTTGGTTTTAATACACTGAATTGTTCAAAATTCAGTTGGGGGTCAGTAAGATTTTTTTAAAAATCATACTTTTATTAGGATGCATTAAATTAATCAATATTGACAGTACAGACGTTTCCATTTTTAAATATATGCTGTTCTTTTGAAATTTCTATTCATCAAAGAACCCTGAAAACAAAATCGTGTTTTCCACAAAAATATTAACTAGCACAACTGTTTTCAACATTGATAATAATAAGAAATCATCAGCAGCGTATTAGAAGAATCATGTAACCGTGAAGACTGGAGTAATGGCTGCTGAAAATTCAGCCTTGCTATTACAGGAATTACATTTTAAAATATATTCAAATTCTGAATTGTAACAATATTACTTTGTAAATGCAGCCTTGGTGATCATAAGCGATTCTTTCAAAACCCCCCAAAATTTTGAACAGTAGTGCACTTTTAAAAGTTCATACTTATAGTTAATTTCCATAATATGTGATTTCAGTTTTCATGGAAATTTGTCATACAATTGAGGCCAGTCAAAAAAATTGACAAAGGGCACCATTAAATATTACTACTACAGTAATGTCGTGTTTACAATTCTGAGTAATATCGCTGCTGTTGTGCCTCATACTTACTTGGTTTTACAGTAGGCCACCACACAGACTATGCCCACCACCAAAAGAGCCACACAGATGCCGGTGATTGTCAGGACTCTCTTCTGATAGAGCTCCTCTGCCTCTGCACATTACCACACACAACAATTGTCAGACTCATTTACAACTCAAACTGGTTCTAAACTCTCTCGTAAACAGTTACCACTGCTGCCCCGATCCTCCTTCAAGTCATCTAGTGATGAGATATATCATGTACGGTTTGGATTAACATGTTCTTTCTATCGGGCATTTAGCATGACTCAGATCCCGTACGCTCTCATTAACTGCATGGATATGAGAATTAATCGTGAGATGGGAACGAGGCTCAGGCCTTAACAAGGGCTTGAATGGACCAGCTCAGCAGTGGAAACTGCTTGCGTGAGGAATAACGCGTATCATTATCGTGGACGTTAGGGAAGCGGTCTGTCTGAACGATCTCCCGATGAGCACTGATGATTTCTGTGAGTCACTCCATGGATGCCTTCCTCCACTGGGGGGCGTCGCAATTCAGCTCAATTTACAAGCTCAAACAGCATATCAAGAGGACAATTGAAATGTGGATGGATGTTTGGGACAAATTGGTTTAAGAAGTAATTACATGGAGGCACAGAAACAATCATCAGGGTCTTTGTTTGGCTTGGTCAGTTACAGTTTATTAATGTATTCATAACCAATCAAATCATGGATGCATAGAAATATTTAAAGGAATATTCTGGATCCAGTTATCAAACTGAGCTCATTTGACAGCATTTGTGGTATAATATTGATTAGCTTGTGCTAAAAAACTGTTTAAATCCTTTTTATATCAATATTTTATAAAATTATAAAATTCATATTTCTGCTTTCAAATCCTTCAAAAGGTTTCCCTATTTACTTCCATAGGAAGTGCCTCACTGTAACCTCGATTTTTGCTTTTTCAAAGAAAACAAGGGATGAGTCAATTTATGCAACAAACCTTAAACTGAGTGTAAAAGCTTTTCAGCTCAGAGAATGCACATTTTAACAAAATAATTGATGTAAGTGTTTTTATAAAGTTATAAGCTTCACTGTAACCTTGAGTTTTGCTTATTTAAAGAAAACCTTTTTTTTTTTTGTAGTAATTACGCCACATGCTGTAGATTGAGCATAACTTGTTTGAACCCTGAATATTCCTTTAACACAAACTGAATGTTGGGTATAATTAAAAAAAGAAATGTTTTTTTTTTTCATTTTATTTTTTTTATATCGAACCACAGACTACATCCAGCCTTCTGCCTTTTCCTTGGAAATGGGCTTTGGTTTGGTCGCACAGACCTTCCAAAAGGAAGAGAATGTATGTCTGAGAGAGATGGGGGCTAGTTAGGGAAGAAATATTTCATAATCAATAATGAAATAATCCAGCTGTCGTTTGCTCGGTAGTACAGAGCAAGGAGGAGAACATTATTTCTGAAGGGCCTCATCTGTGTTGGTAGGAACGGAGCTGATTTTTGCTTTAAGCACACAACATGACTTCATAGAGAGCCTAGTTTACACGTACCGTAAAACGGACCATTTTCAAGGGAAAACAGAGGCTGGTTTTGTAAGCAAAGAACAGACAATTGGGAGAGGTCATATAAACAACCTAATTATGGTACTAATGCAATTTGACATGCTAGGGCACTAGGATTCAGTTTGTACAAGCAAGGTAAAATTAAGAACAGAAAAGAAAAGAGAGACTGCGTTCAATTTGAATCATTATCAGCTGCAGAAATCGCATTGGTGAAGCAGAAGAATGGCAAAATAGCGTGCAAGGATAGAGACGAAAAATAATTAAGCAAAGACAACACAAAAATGGGCAGATGGAAGAAGGAAAAGAACTTAGTTTAGAATAAGGGGAGAAAATGAAAGTAAAGGAAGCATTTGGGGAAACAAAATGGAACTCTTATCCGCAGCACTCATCCATATTGCCTTGAAAGTCAAAGTCCCGCGATCAGCTGTACAATAAAAGTCCATCTGGAAAAGTTACAGCTGGTCATGATCAGATTTTATGTAAACGCTTTGAAAATATAGCTGTACAGTGCCTGATGTCAAAAGTTAAACTGCAAAAATTATTTATTCAGTATTTTTGTTGTTTTCTAGTAAAAATATCTAAAAAAATCAATGATATATTAACTTGATAAAGAAAACTATGTGAAGTATTAAGAATTGTTCTCAGAGAATATATCTTATTGTTTTAAGCACATAATTACATTTCAAATACATAACATTTTTTCCAGTTTTAAGTATTTTTCCTACAAAATGTTGTTTTAAAATATAAAATATTTATCTACCTTTTGTAGTTACCTTTATCTAAAATGACAACATTTTACAATTTAGTTTGTTTAAAAAATAATAATTGAAAATGTGGTAGCAAAAAAATATTACACTATTTTTAAAAACATAAAATTAATAAATATATACATTAATATGAAATATGAAGTCTTAATATGAAAAAAAAAATACTGATTTTATTTTTTTCCCCGGTGCAAACGGGCAAAATCCTGAAAGTGCATGTGCAAGGGAAAATGAACACGTTGATCCAACGTGATCCAAGGCTTTCCATGTATAACATAATTAGATTCAATGTTAGTACTACTCCAGTGCACATAAATTCACTTGAAGCTACACACTTGTTATGTTTACCGCTCAGTAAATACCAGGTTGGTGTGTAAAACTGACGGAGGTTTACACAAATCACCCCCGCATAATGCTAACTCCTTGAGAGCCTGCGACTATCTGCATACACTTGAAGAAATCTGTGTACATCTTCGTGTTGATGACAAAAAACCGACTCATTTGCCGACCCTTTATGTCGTTCCAACCAATTCAACAAAATATATGGTTGTCAAAAGTCTTACGTAAAACTTGAACTAACTACGCACGTTGTTAAATGCTCACAGTAAAACTGTTTCTGGCAACGTCTCTGGGGCTGCAAGAACATTTATGGCTAATTTTAAATAGGTAAAACAGTGAGATGATGGAAACTTCCTAGGCTTTGTTAACACTGCACGCAAATACAATTTAGTTGTCAAAACTGATCTTTTGGACATTTTGCAAGGGATAAAATTTAAGTTGTTTGTTCAAATAGTGAAGAGAATATATGGCGTTTGTGCATTGGTTGCTACAGACGATGCGGTATGGATTTTTGGGTAAAAGTCTGCTTATGGTATTGATAAAATAGTACATTGAGGGCACATAATGGCCCCTTAGGGGACATTTTTATACACCTTTTTAAGGATCAATAATATGACATTGCCTTTAATGTCAGAAATGTCCTGATATAATGAGGAAAAAAGCCTAATTAATTTTTTTATTAAACCTTTTTTTTAATATATATATATATTTGTTTTATTAAATAAAATTCATGCTGGTTTTGTCTGGCCAGAGGAGAACTGGCCCCTCTGACTGAGCTTGGTTCTCCCAAGGTTTTTTTTCTCTATTTCTGTCACTGGTGGAGTTTTGCCTTTGGCTTGCTTAGTTGGGGATGCTTAATTTCTGGCAATATTGTCGGCTTGATTGCACAGACTCTATTGGAAGAGAGCTGAACTAGATGATGACCTCACTGTATTATTGTCAAACTATTTTCCTGCTTGACACTGTAAAGCTGCTTTGACACAATCAGTACTGTATAAAGCGCTATATAAATAAAGGTGACTTGACTTGTCTTGACTACTAAATAAATCATTTTTTTTAAAGAAATTTAAAATATATATTATTTAGATTTAAAGGGGTCATTGCGATTTCAAGTTTTCCTTTCTCTTTGGAGTGTTACAAGCTCTTGGTGCACAAATAAGATCTGTAAAGTTGCAAAGACTAAAGTCTCAAATCCAAAGAGATATTCTTTATAAAAGTTAAGAGTCAGCCACACCTACCTAAAACGGCTCGTTCTAACACGCCCCCACATATCTAGGTCACTAAGTGGAAATATTAGCATAATGCTGCCCAAATGTGCACGCAAACAAAGAAGGCGTGGTTTCAGGGACAGCAGTAGTGTTGATGCAGCCATGTCAGGGAGACGCTGTGTTTCAGTATAATGATCTTTAAAATAGCATCATATGACCCCTTTAATGTTTGTATTCACTTTGTTAAATATGAGTCATGCCACTGAATGACAGAAGAAAATTACAAATAAATAAAATAAAACTTCTGATACTTCTGAAAAATCTTCTGAAAACTTCTGAAAAATCTGATTCCAATATGATTCCAAAAAATACATTCCAAAAATAAAAAAACAGATTTTAATCAGATATGTAGACCACATATGGATGTTTATAAACATCAGATTCCATGTTGTTTTTTCCTAAACGAATTGAAGTCGGATCTGATTCTTTCTGCTTGTCTGAACAAAGCCTTAAAATCCCACTGTGACGAGACGAGGGCTGCAGATAATGATTCCCATGCTGACTCTTGGAAAGAGGGGCTACTATACAGAGCAACGGCTGATTGACAGATTTATTAGTTAATCAATTTGTTCATTTGCTTTAGAGTCCATCAGAGAGAGGCTACGGAGGTGTGTCAAACGGAATGAGAGCTACACAGTTCAATCTGGAAATCGGAATGAAGGATTGGTCCATACCCATAAATTCAATCCCAAGAGACTCTGCCAGTGCAAAGAGTTGATAATGAAGAGCAAAACAAAAACAGAGAGAGAGAGAGAGAGAGAGGAAAAACAAGATTTAAGAGAGAGATATCCCACCATACACAGAAACACATATGGGCATTATGAAAGTCACACTGTGGACACATCATGCAAATACTATAATGAGAAAGAGAGTAAGTGCTTAGATCATGCAGGTTAGAGCACGTCTGAAATACGGGTTTCTAGATGACAAACCTGGATTAATGGGTAAGTGATGATTATAATTGTGAGTAATAAAGAAGAATTATAATTAAAATCATCAAACTAGCATCTAGCACCAAACTAGTAGTTTATTTCGGTATTTATTGCATGGATTAGGATTTTAAAAACGAGCAGCTAGGTTAGTAGATTCGATTTGATGAATTAATGTCATTGTGGGGCAAAGCCACTGTTAGACACTTTAATTCATGTTATTCTATGGCAGTTATTTCAACTCTGTCATTAATATAATTATTGTTATACAAACAAAACAACAACAAGTATGCAAGAATGCAAGTAAATTGATATACATTCCAGTGGTCATTAAACTACACAATTAAAATATCTCTGATGCGTCTTACCTGTGGGGCACACAGACAGCTGACATTATTCATAAAACATTTTGGTGCATTTTTATGTTAATTGTTAATATCAAGATGCTATTTACACTCTGGGACGTGTATATTAGTAAAACATGCTCTATGCAACAAATATTATGATTAGCCAAAGTAACTTTTTACTTAATTTAATTTGCCTGTATCTTCAGTCTGGTTTGAGTGTGCATTCAGATACTTGTGAATAGAGAAAGCAATCATAGCGGCTTTAAATGAGGAGCTCTGAGTGTCATAACTGGTGATATACTGTAGCTGATAATGCTATCAAAATATGTTCTTACACAAAGGGCCCTGGGTTCAGGATAATTCAATTTTTTTAATTAATGGATGAGCGACAAGCACTTTTCTGGCCAGCTCACGTGACTAATATTAGCTGCAGGAAATTCCCACTGTTGCCATGACAACGGAATTTCACAGGCCTGATAGAGGTGGAACAGATGAGCAATCCTCAGGTAGAGATAAGCTACTGCTTTTTTAAAATACTTTTATTTTTTACTTTATAATGCAAAAAATTAAATAAAAATAAATAAAAACACTGTAACACTTTACAATAAGGTTCATGCTAGTATGGTAAAAAGCAGCTTGGATATTCCTTAATATTTCTCCTTTTATGTTCCACAAAAGAAAAAGTGAGTCAGTATTACTTTTCAGTGAATTATCCCACAGTAACAGCTCTGAATTTTTTAATTTTTTTTTATAAAAATCAATCAATCAATATTTTTTTTCTGTCAGTTATTCCAGGGCCTGCAGTCTTAAAGCCCCGGGGCTGTCACAGTGCTCCTGTCAGAGGTCAGCTACCATTTTAGCTCTCTACTATGACTCTAATTGGTCGTGCGATTACAATTCTCTCAACAGCAAGTTGAATAGAAAGTGACAGAAAATCACTTTCTCTCGGAGACGACAGCTCTGAGGACACGTCTGCCCTCATGCACAACCTGCACACTGGGATTTACAGCTGGGCTTTGCATGTAGAAATGGCATCTTGTCAGATGTTCTTCTCTGCGTTGTAATATTCCTATCATGCGCTAGGATGGGGGATGCCTTCATTTCTCTCTTTCACCCATGGCGCCAAAGCCATTTTTTCCTTAAGCTGCTTGTATCTACACGCACCTATTAGGCTACATTTATACTATTTACATTTCAGTCACTGCACTGTTTCAACATCTTATGTTGACAGACGCTAATTTCCAGGCCTCCCAAAATGAACAGTGCTACAAAGTACAGAAAGGAAGCCTGGCTTGTTGACAGTGGAAAAGCTAACAATCCACACATGCAAAGACTTGATCCACTGTCCTGATATAGGTAACAATTCAGCTCGATAAATCATGACATAACATGCCACAGGTTATAACGCGTGTCATATTATCATTTTTCTTGTTTTGCACCGCTTTGAGTGTTTTTAATAACACCTAATAAATTATTCCATTTATACAGAGAGGAAATCTATTCCGTTCTACATGCAACTGTGTGCGCTTTCCGTCCACAGATAGTTTTGTTAACATCAATCTTTCGTGTTCTACCTCCTGTCTTTTTATTAACTATTAAATATATGTTGAGATTAAGGCCATGGTAAAATGTATACAGCGGCAGCATAGCAACGCTGTCTAGAGCACAAAGGCCTGATTATATGCACTATGTGGACACAAGCAGGAGCCAATAGCTCACAGGCATGAGCTGTCAGGTGTAGTGATCCCTGTGCCTCCCTCTAATTTAGGTGTTTTTCTGCAGTTGATGGACATGTGCGGTGGAGACGCCGATCTGTAGCCTTATACGGTTAAAATGTGTCACCTCAGGGAAGTGGAGCTGTTTAATTTCCCAGCATAATTAAGGGGTGGATTTTTTAACTGTGGGGTGTGCAGAGGATTTGTGACAGGATTGTTTGAGGGAAACAATGCCGGTACATTGCACAGTGCTCTTGTTTTACATTACACACACTTGTGAAATTACAGAACGGTGTATTGTATGCAAATTGCTACAAGTGATAAAATAAACAGGGCAAGCTTCTTTACAAAAAATTAGCTTTTTTTTTTTTTTTTTTTACTTTGCTGAGAACTACTGTACAGAAAACTGAGGCTGTCAAAATCATATCAAATGAAATAGGCTGTAAAAGTTGAAAACTAATTACGAAATTGCAGAACTCAATCATTTGAAATACATTACAGTTCGATAGAAAAATGATTTACATAGAGTTTGGTGGGAAAATTATTTACATATTTATGCATTTGGAACATACTTTTATGCAAAGCGACTTTGCATTCAAGGAATACAGCTTTATACAGTTCATATATTCCCTGAAAATCGAACCCAGGACCTTGGTGTTGCTATCGCTATGCCCCACTGGTTGAATCACAGAAACTAGCATTGATATTAAAAGTCAGGTTGATAACTATTTTCATGTTTTGGCTGATAACTGATAAATGGCTGATGTTAAAATTCTATAATACACAAAATTTTAATAAAACGACAAAAAATTATTTTGGCTTTAAATGCTATAATTTAAGCATCACAGTATTACAATGTACACCATGAACAATGGATATTCATTTTGAGATTTGCTAAAGATTTATCAGTGTTTAAGATTAACAGTCAATTTAAGAGTCGAAATATCTCATTTTTAATTAAAATGTCTAACTAAATTCAACCATCTACACGAAAAAACTGAAAAAATGAGTGTGGCAATACGAGCCAATATATATCCAATATTAACAGATACTCACAAATTAAAAAAAAAAAATTCTAATGATAACCAATAACCAATATGGCACTGATATATTGTTCATCCTTAATAAGACATTTTTATGGGCATTTAAAAAAATATATATATATATATATTAGTGCCCATTTTGTGATTGCACGTTTTTTATATTTAAATAATTATTAGCTGTCCATTCACATTTTTGTAACATTATTTTCTAGCTGGACAATCTATAGCATGTGTTTATGGTTAGTAAATTGACAGTAACTATATTTCTGTTGTATATGTTATGGAATGATGCAGCATTTAATTAGGTATGTTTATTGCCATTATGATTATATATAAATTATGGTTCACTTTATTAAAGAACACGCATTCATACTTCAAAACATGCATCTCTGATCATGTTACGATATAATGTAATGTAGAATTGATTAAACAGTGATGCAGGGGGTGAATGACATACTGGACCAAATAAAACTCATTAATTGTTAAAAAAAAACTGATTCAGTTAGAACAAGTAGATTATTAACCATTACAGAACAACATTCCACATCTTCAGTTCCAGCATGCAAACAAGACAGAGACAGACAGACAGAAGAAGAAATGGACATACGGTAGAAACTGGCCATAACGTAGGTTTGACAGCGATCACCAGTAAAGTCATTTGGACACCTGATGGAAGGAGACAAAACCATAGAAAGAAAGAGAAAGGGAGAGGGTGTGTAGCAGAGAGAAAAGATGCAAGAGAAAGAAGAGAGGGGAAAAAGAAAGCAGAGAGAACATTAGGACAACAGCACAATGATGTACAGCAGAAGCAGAGGATCCCGCTGGAGGCACCACTGTGTCTATTTCAGGACAGACTTAAGCCAGCAAGCCTTGGGAGGTGGAAGGAGGTAAGGGAGAGACAACAGTGGTAACCCAGTGACAGCCGGTCCTCTGTTTGCGGCTGTGCATCTCAAGTCAACATACTTTTATTAGGTTTGGGCATGTATAACTTCAGGGGTTCTGTCTGCAAGCACCGCTGGCCGAAGTATCCGTCCGGACATCTGGGGGAAGGAGAGGTGGAAAAGATGACACACAGATATACACCAAACACACTCACACACATCACACACAGAGGATTTTACGCACAGCGAGGTCAGAAACACAACCGCACAATCATTCCATGGGGGGTGGGGGGGGCATTGTAAAAGTCTTTACTGTCACTTTTGATCAAATGAATGTGTCCTTGCTGAAAAACAGTAGTAATTTATTTAAAAATAAATAAATAAATGGAGCTGACCCCAAACCTTTGAATGGTAGTGTTCAGGACAGACATTTGCATTCAAGGAACACATTTACATTATATCAGTTCTTGCTTTCCCTGGGAATCGAACCCACAACTTTGGAGTTGATAGCACCATGCTCTACTCATTGAGCTACAGGAAAGGCTGTGTATAGTGTATATCTATTTATTTTTCCTACCACATTGGCAAGTTGTTTTACTCTTGTTTTAAGCATAAACCGCTATGATTAAAGCAGGGGGAAAAGATATGCAGTAGGTCCAGTATACAGGCTGGAATAAAGCAACCACATTTTTCTGCAAACACAAACAGCTGAAGCTACATCTCAGCCTATAAGCAGCACATCTCTATTATGGTCGCCTGATTATGACATGGCTCTCATTCATGGATTTGATTGGCCAAAGGGAGAGGGTGTCGAGCAGAGAGAAAAGATGCAAGAGAAAGAGGAGAGGGTGAAAGCAAAAGAGAGAGAGGGGGAAAAGAAAGCAGAGAGAACATTAGGACAACAGCACAATGATGTACAGCAGAAGCAGAGGATCCCGCTGGAGGCACCACTGTGTCTATTTCAGGACAGACTTAAGCCAGCAAGCCTTGGGAGGTGGAAGGAGGTAAGGGAGAGACAACAGTGGTAACCCAGTGACAGCCGGTCCTCTGTTTGCGGCTGTGCATCTCAAGTCAACATACTTTTATTAGGTTTGGGCATGTATAACTTCAGGGGCTCTGTCTGCAAACACCGCTGGCCGAAGTATCCGTCCGGACATCTGGGGGAAGGAGAGGTGGAAAAGATGACACAGATATACAACAAACACACACACACACACACACACACACACACACATCACACACAGAGGAATTTATGCACAGCGAGGTCAGAAACACAGCTGCACAATCATTCGAATGCCAGTCCGATTCTTCAAGCCATCGTTTGTTCAGTAAGAGGATTGAAAAAGACATTTTTTAAAGCATTTTTGTTTTCTAAATATCCATAAACCATTCTTAAAACAAGATTTTACTGTCTAATATTTTTACCGTCTAATATTTAAAGATTTTTTTTGTTGTTGGAAATTTATCTTCAGTTTACACTACCATAGTTTTTTTTTTTTTTAAGTGGTCTCTTATTCTCAACAAGACTGCATTTATTTGATCAAAAATACAATAAAAACAGTAATATTGTGAAATATTATTACAATTTAAAATAACTGTTTTCTATTTGAATATATTTTAAAATGCTATGTATTCCTGTGATGGCAAAGCCTGAATTTTCTTAAATTTTCAGTGTCACGTGATCCTGATGATTAGAAATCATTCTAATATGCTGATTTGGTGCCTGTGATTTATTATTATTATCAAAGTTGAAAAAAATTGCTTGATTTTTTTTTCAGGATTCTTTGATGAACAGAAAGTAAAAACAAAAAGGCATTTATTTTAAATAGACCAAATTACGGCTCATCAGTGCGTAATGAGCGATATGGGGGTAAATAGTTTTCACAGCGTTAATTCCTCTAACTCGGTAACTACTCTAGTCAGCTATCACTGATGAATGGCCACCTTCAATTTCCAGGACAAACAGAAAGCGAGAGCGAGTGTTATCTTCTGTCACCAGCTTATCTGCTGAACGCCGTATCCCTGTGCTTCCCAAGTCGGACCGCCAGAGGCAGGAGTGAATCGTAGCTCAGATTTATTTTGTTTTCCACGAAAAAGGCCAATTACTTGAGAAGCAAAAATGTGTAGTATATTAAAACGTTGTTTTCACAGAGCATGTCTAGCTTCAGTCTTGCTTTAGGCCTAAATCTAACAACATTTAAAGCAGTACATAGCGGGAGCGCATATGTATAAGGCCCCTGTAAAAGTAAAAAAAAAAGCCCTTATGGTTGGCTTTTGAAGTAGGATGTGGGGCATTATGCATGATACAACACATGCAGCACACACACGAAGCCGTCGGTGAGTTTATAGAGTGTAAAATGAGCCAAGGTTCAGGCTGTAACCTCTTCATTGCGCTGCTACAGAGCCATGTCACCGCCTGGCATGCGGTAAAACACGCCAATGTTAACTACGGAGACCCTGGGAATAACAGAGAGATGGTGAGAGACCGCAAGCTGTTGTAGTCTTTAGGGGAACGCAGGAGAGAGAGAATTTGGGGTACATTTCCCCTGCACCGGAGCAAAGACATGTTTTAAGTAG